TACCAAAATTTGGATGATTTTGAATATTCACTTGAAAAGATATCAAAGAAAAACATTTTTCATTTTGTAACTTCGAGGGCCCGTTACTTGGTAACGAAGGATTTTAGGAAAAAAAGTTATATGAAGTACTGGTGATATTTTGACCCCATCTATACATTCCCGAGAGGAAAAGAGGAAGTCCAGGGACACCCTGTATATGTGAATTCTGTCTTGGAGTTCGTCCAGTTCGTATTCCTATGAAACTTAATGAATGCATGAATATATTTGCATTCGGTGCACCGGATAAAATACTCGATGTTTTCGATGACCATTCTTTTACATCAATCAAAGGCCTGAGTACTCTTTTTATGTTATTTTTAAAACGTGAAACTACCAAACAATGTATAAATTACTGAAATTTAAAGATTTACTCTCAAATTTGCAGCACTGGTGTTCCAAGTTCGTTTTAAGGAGAACTATATTGATGCATAAATAATATGAGTGGGATCGATCGATTCAAAAAATAAAATGATGAATTGTTGTGGTTTTGGATGTATACAAGCCTGTCTGGTCAATATTCATTAACATAATAAAAAAGAGATGGGTGTAGATATAACATTTCTTAATAGCTCAACACATCCTACACCTTTTCCGATTTAAATTAAGTTTTATAGCATTATTTACTGCGATGTTTGGATAACAATGAAATGAGTTGAAGTAGTAAATGCTTAATTGAAAGGGTAAATGGTGGAAATTCAAAGATCAAAATATAAATTCTCCGAAAGGATATTTTATGTAAACGTCATTAACTACAATAGGCCTACACCAAACATTCATAAAATTACATTTGATGCATATCCTCGAATGCATTTAGACATGCCCGAAGTAAACATTCCAAACTTCGCTTTGAAATAGATCATTTTAATCAATGCACAAACACGATGAAAAGGTTGAAGGGTAATATGTAGGAATTGTTAGGAATCACACGTTAAAAGGTAAGACCTCGTTAGTCCTTAGCTCGCACAAGTTTCTCAACTTCTGAGAGTTGTCGTTCGTATGGGCGCGGCAGCTGATTAACGGAAAAACAGATTTTAAACAGATTTTTTTTTAAACTTTCACAGGGTACTATAGAACCTTTCAATTTTTCAATGTTATTATGAGTTTGAGACTTCTCTACGAATGAAAATAAAGCAATAACTTCGCTAAAATAATTCTACTACCATTATGAATCAATACATTTCTCACTTATTTTTTTTCTCCAAAGATGGACAAAACGTTTTAAGTAACAAAAGTGTCCTCAGTTGCTTACTTATGTATAATTAAACATGTCATTAAACAAAAAAATAACTTATCCATAAAACACTGTACAATTTATAGGAAATACGGAAAACCTCAGAACCGTACACTTAAAATACGGGAATGAAATGAAAAAATATTTTTTTCAGAATGAAATGTGCATGAGCACGGCGCATTTCCTCACGATCAGCATTAAATAAATAACCGGTTTTTCATATGGTATCTATATTGGAGCAATTGATTGGATAATCAAGGTTTTGCCAATTACTGTCGTTATTTATAGTAGGCTAATGCAAATGTTTCGTGATTTGTTTTTGATCGGTTCAACTTTCCGATGACATAGAGAACGAGATAATGAAGTAAATACACTTTGATCTCAAGAGATTAAAGTCAAGTGATACATAAGTATATCGAGTTTAATGTAAACTCAGTTGAAGAATTTTCAAAAAGTAGTTTTAGAGTTTATCTATTACGAACAAATAAATCTATATTTCTTTAAAATACTAGTTTAGATTAGATTTAGATGTGAAACTATCCGCCCGAAAATTTCAATCCGGTTTGCTACTGAAAGTGATTCATATAGTTGGAATTTTATACTCTTCCGTTCATCATACTATGTCCAGTTTTCGGCTTTCAAACAAATACTACTTGAACTCATGTAAGGACTTTTATCTACGAGTGAATAGGCTGGATTTGAAATTTCATATAGGAGCGGCCTGCCTAAATCCAAACAAGTGTTGGAACTGGATGATAGATACCTCATCATAATCTATCAGAGCGCATGTAAATGACCCTTTTCTGTGAGCTCTTCATTTGATAGTTCACAAAACCACAACACGTGTTTCGAAAAAAAATCCCTATGAAAATTGCAACAATTCAACTCGATATATCAAAAATTAGCTTTATAAGTGAATTATTTGCCAAGCGCGAAGGGTGGAAGTCTCTATTAAATAAAGTGACTGGTATATACTAAAAAGTTTAGTTAGATAACACAAATAATAATAATTCCCTTTCGTCATTATTACTAAACTACAAGTTCAGCGAGAAAAAAAATTGTTCATACAGCCAAACTGATTAGATAAAGAAAAAACACGTTTGTGAAGATTTATTTTTTGATTGACTTCAACACCGCGATTGATTTTTTTACTTACTTGTAGCTAAAGTAAACGAATGCTTTCCTAAACTCATTGATAGCCGTCGAAATGATAATCGAAGCTGCTGGAACAGCTAAAACTGAAGAATTGCCCCTGTGTTGCGGCATTGTCCTCGTCATTCTAATCACTCGCGAATCGATCACTTCGGCAAAAAGCAAATAGAAAAAATCACCAATATGAGTCCATATTTCCTTCTTATCTATTTGCCGTCTACAATTACTACTACTATTTCTATACCGGACTAAAAACAAAAATCCAAAAATCTCGACAACAAAATAGTAGAACTTAACGTAGAACGAAATGAAACCAACGAGCGTTCAATGATAACTAGCTCGCTACGCAACGACACGGGGATTCATTTGTTTATAATAATTAAGGAGGTGGATGCAGATACGTAGGTGTTCAGTCACGGCAGGTAAGAGGGGGGAAGGGGTGAATCCTTTGAGTCATCGGAAAGAGCCCTGGCCTTTTCCTGCTATATGGAAGCAGCATTTAAATGAGTTTTATGAGTCTAGAAGAGAATTCATGAATTCGATAGTCGATGAGCAACACGATCGCAAATAAATGTACATTTTTTAGATGTTTCACCGGAAAATCCAGATAAGATCAATGCTATCAGACAATCAACAGAATTGAAATGACGAATCTATAGAAATTGTAATTGCTTTGGAGGGTAGTTTCAGGTAGAAGCCAAGTTCAGTAATACAGCGTGTGTCACATCAAGTTCACCAATAGAAATTCAAGATGAAAAGAAGGGTTGGATAGGCATTGGGTTTTTTGGAATATTCTCCAATAACAGTGTGTCGGTTATTCGGTAAAAGCGTGGCACATAAAAATTGTGTTTTTTTTAAATGAAATGAGATATATTGATAGTCCATATTCGGATTTGAAGATAGTATCAGTATACAATGTCATCCCCAAAGTATGCACCATATGGGAAACTTATTTATTAAGGGTTTTTCGACAAAAAGTTATTCTTGATAAAAGTTTTTGCAACAACAGAGAATCTGCTCGAGGACAAACTGAAACGTTCATCAATTTACTGCAAAATAAACTTTTGTCGAAGGATGTAGTTAGTAAGTATTTATATATTTTAACTCTAATAAATTTGCCAAATAAATACACTATCAAGAACACACACAGAACCTCAACCTCTTTTCTTAGCAATGAGTACCATTTTAGATCCATTCCCACAGAATGAGTTGAAATACACTTGAAACCTGCCAAAAGTGTAAAAGCGGATTTTTTCAGTATTCTCTATTTTCCGTGAGGTTCTTTGGTGATTATTTTTGTTTCATTCCATTTCATTGTGTGATCAGCAGTGGTTTTCAAAATATGTTCCGCTTATCCCCGATCCTCTCAATTGTATTCCATTTATGTATCCCTGATGTTCGTTTTTTCTTACATTTAGGGGTCTTGTAATTCATATTCTCAGGTTTCGTTCGTGTAAAAACAGATCTCAATGATGGTAGTTTTAAAAATTATTTTAACATCAAATAACCGATGCGTCTCAAATTTCAGACAAACCGGGCACATAAGTTATGAAGTTAGTTATTGAGTTTGTGATCATTGTGCAATCTGTATAAGTGGGTTACTGTTATTACCAGTTTCGTCAATCAATCTTTCTACAAACTGTTCCAGATACGCGTTTTCCTTTAAAACAGTTTTAATAGTAGTATTTTAGATTACTTAAACACAGAAAAAATTGTTTCGGTTATGATTCATCCAGAATTTGGAAATTGGATTATGGCTAAACTATTATTCGATCATGAAAAATATATATTTTCAAAATATGTCCTAAACAAAACCGGCTCTCCAAATGAGTTTTCATTGAAAATGAGGATGGTTTAATGAATAAGTTTTTTGGGGATATTTTTGACAGAAATTCTGAACCGTTTGGTATATACCCAGACAATTTTATATTTTTTTTAAGTTCTGTCGAAATCCAAACATAATTTCGACTCGAAATTTTATTTTTCCTTCGATGAAAAATTTTCTCAATACAAAATTTAAAACAATCAAAATAACATGAGTCTCAAAAATAACAACAGAGTTCTTAAACAACATCAATATTTAGTTGGTGAATTAGATTTTTGCGACAGGAACAGTTATCTCGGTTTTCAAAGACTTCATCAAAAACGCATTTTCAAATCAGGAAATGAAAAATATCGGGGCAATTATAGACCAATAACAGTTTTGATACTTTTGTAAAACTCTTTGTGAAAACACGTTATTTTAGGCCGATAATACTGTTGTGGTATTTAATGGGATAACTTGAATGCTTAATATGGAATGAAATACAACTGGCTACGTGAAAGTCTGCTGAATATGAATGTTGGAGAAGATAAATTCATTGTCTTTTCATACACAGTAAGAGATCAACCTGTGATTAACTATACTCGCCTTCCTTTCAGAGCTTGATTGCATCAAGCACCTCCGATGCACCTGTGCATCCATAAAAAAACGAATAATCATATAAATTATCGTGAAGTGGTTGATCAACATATTCGGTGGAATGAATATATAAATTTCACCAGCTGAAAAATATTCTCGATAAGCAAAATATACGGAGTGGAAGTTTCAAAACATCTATACATAGTCTGGGAATTATACATGATACTCCATTAAAAATATTGTTTAGAAAAACCAGAAGAAGATATTTTAGGACTCAGTTACACCTACGGCCTGATGACTTCGACAATTGTGGAACTAGCCATACGTTACACCCATGCTCAATCTCTAAAGAGATGGGATGAAATCAAAGGATGCAATCTTGTCAGGATCACTCTGAGCGACCCTGGGAAGCTGGCGCCGAAGAAATATCTGTTGATGACTAGGAAAAATCTACGCCTAACAGTAGGATTTCTGACTGGCCACTGTCAACTAAGGAAACACCTCCATAATATAGGGCTAGTGGACACACCTCTATGCAGGATGTGTGAACAGGAAGATGAAACTGTCAGGCATGTCCTATGCGAGTGTCCGAAGTTATTGCCAATAAGAGAGTGTGTGTTCGGCGAGTCTTGGCCTACACCTAGAGAATACACCTCTTTCAATTTCGCAATTGTTTCATATTCAAAATGATTCCTGACTGAATTCCACAACTCAAAATTAAAACCATTACTTCGAACACCCAAAATTTTGACTAATTTTCATGTGATCTGATGCAGAGAGAATAATTGTATGAGATATTTAAAAAAAAATAGTCGTTCTCAAGACTTTACATTTACAAACTGTTCCAATATACCTTCGTTTAGAAAAAGATTCGATATTTAGGACATAAATAAGGAGTCCCTTGTCATGTATCGAATGTTTCTCAAGCTCCATGGTGCTCATTCATTGCACATTGTACCGCCTAAACCTGTGGAAATATTTGATAAAACCTAATTCTACGCCCCGATTTATTTCTTGAATTAGGGCGATAGCAAAACCTTTACTTTCAATATGTTTATTAATAATAAGTATGCAATGAGTGGTTTTCACGACTCTTCATATACCGTTAAAATATACTCTATGTACAGAGTGGGCTAAATTGGACACTTTTGAAGGGAATCTCCTGTTTTCAAACTAGTTAGATGAAAACTGATGGCTGTGTCTGAGGGTCAAATTTTATGATAGTTATTGATGGAAAACTATTTTTTATGAGATACCCTGTATATTCCTGCATATTTCAATAGAGCTTAAAATTACCTTTCGAAAAATATAGCATACTTGATGTTTTGCGAGTCATCTTTGAAATACATAGCTTTGAGAAATTATTCAGTAGTAGCTATCAAATGTTGAGAAAGCTTTCCACGCATAGTTTCAATAAAACTGATACAAATTTATACTATATTTACTAATTATAGATGAAACTTCAACAATAATAATGAAGAACAAACAATGAAATATATTTCTTCAGAGAAGGTGTTGAAATGTCTACCAGCTTCTCCTACACACAGGCGACACCTTTTCTGAATGATTTTTGCCGAATCAATTAGTTCAATAGGAGTGAGAGAAGCAAAACTTTGCATCACTGCCGTTTCCAATTCGTATCTAGAATTGATCAGTGATTTAAAAATGAGATCTTTCAACCTTCCCTAGAGGTAAAATTCCATAGACATTAAGACCGGTGACCTGGCCAGCCAACGGTTGGGTCCTTGGTTGGCTTTCCAATTATTACCAAAATTTGCAGCAAAAAAATTTGTACCAATTGCAGAGTTGTGTGGCAAAGCCCCGTGTTGTTGAAAATATATTTTACTGGGCTTCATTAGTGGCAATGCATCAACAAGGGGTTTAATATTTTGCCTTAAAATTTCTAAATACCTCTGAGATGTGAGAGTGCCATTATAAATGAACGGGCCGATAATTGACTTCTCTGCTCCACAAAAGAATAAGGATTTTGTTATGTCCAAGTATAAGAATTTTAGCGGTTGAAAATGCCGGCACTGCTCATATAAGCTTCGTTTGTTCAAATACAGTTTAACGAAAAATCAAGCAATTGGTTACAACTTTCCAGGAACCACTGTCAGAAAGTCATGCGGCCATCAAAATCTCCTGCTCTGAGTTGATGAACTCTTCTGGTCCTGTATGGCTTGAATTTGTGTTTTTTCAAAGTCCTCCCATCGTTAGTTCTTGGTAGGCATGTTGATACTTTCAAATTTCGCGTTAACGTCAATTAGGTTGTGTCGCAATCTTGCGAAAATGTCTCTTAAAGGTTGTCTTCTCTCTGGATACCTCTCGTGTTACAAATTGCATGCTGCTTCTGCATTTTCCCCGGTTTGTATAAAACATATCCACATATAACATCCCATTTTTCATAATACTCATACTTCATTGCGAATGTGTTTGAATATTGAACAAAAGCGTCTTTACCTCTTAAATTAAAATTTGACAGTTACCAGTTACCAGTAAAGATTTGCATTCTGTTTTATCGCCGCGTCGTCCAAAGCCTACTTTATCAAAGTGTGCGTTTCAAAATCTTCATGAATAAACATAAAAGCTCTGTATTTCAAAAATGACTCGCAAATGTAAATTAAATGTACTAAATTTTTGGAAAGCTAATTTTAAGTTTTATTGCAATATGCAGGAATATACAGGATGTCTCAATAAAAAATAGTTTTCCATCAATAACTATTGATATCTCATTTGAAAAAAATAGTTTTTCACAACATTGAATTTACGTAAACAAGTACTTTGAAAAGGTTTTCATAAAAAGAGGAATTTTTTTACAGGAAAAAAGTTAACCATCAGACACGGCCATCAGTTTTCTCATCTATCAGTTTGAAAACAGGAGTTTCCCTTTAAAATGTCAAATTTGGTCCATTCTGTACGTATTGACCTTGAGAGTATTTTTTCGGAAGTCT